GTCTCCAAGAGAGATTGATTTGTCACTGGAGTGGAGCCTCGTAAACTTGGCCATGCCCCGGGGGATGTCAACAAAGCCTTCACGCGGACTGACTCACCATTGGATGGGGCTGTCATCGGAAGACAATTGACTGTCAATTAGGGACGGAGACAACAACGTGAGAGTCAGCAGGAAGGCAGTAAATCATACCTGTCTGTCAGGCGGCTTTGTCTTCATTCCCTTCACTCTCTCTCTATTTCACTGTTACACATGGCTCTTTCGGAATTAGCCTGCTCTTTTTCTTTCACCTGTTTTGTCCCGAGCCGTCCTGCTGATGGTATTTACTGTACGTACAGCAGCGTTTTCGTACTCCCTCATAGCCTTTCCGACAAGCGATCAGTCCTTTCGCTGCGCAGACCACTGAGTGAGTGGTCTCAGATTTAAAGGTCTCCCATTGCCACCAGCTGATTGTTGCAACTCACACCTTGCTGTGCTCAAAGGCCAAACTGTCTCAAGGTTCAAGGTTCAAGGTTCAAGGTTCTTTATTGTCAAACTAACATAGCTACAGAGTAATTATGTCGTTGAAAATCTTAGGTCACAGGCTTCTCCAACAATGCAACACAATAATACAGATAAGCAGACAATATTGAAACAATATTAAAATATACTATATTAAAAGTAATACAAAAAGAAAAATAGTTATAAAAAATGGGGAAAAAAAGTGGAATAGTGCAATACGAGTCTATATACAAGTTATTGGAATGATATATTAGACAATAGATAAATAATTACTAAGTAGCAGATGAATGTTATGAAATTATTCTCAGTATCATACCCCAGGTTACAATGTAACCCCCCTTTTACGTTGTCATTGTGAAATGTGCGCGCTTATAGCAACAACGCAGCATTTATCCTAGCGAGCTCCATTGAGTTGCTGGCTTTTGTCTGTACTCACACATTCAATACGTTTAAGTGCAATTCAAACAGACCAGTTCATGTGCTTCAACTGGAACAAACCTGCATGTGTCATAGAAATTACGTTTTCGTTTTACACGAGGAAGTTCCAATTCTGTGTGTTGTTTGAGTCTTAATTTGTTGAAAAAAGGAGCATTGCTGCTAATGAAAGAGTCTGAAGCAATTAGCCAAGCTTATAATCAGACATTTGATTCCAGCTGGAAAAATGAGGTGTTTAGTGCAGCATCCTGGAAATAATCTCTAAGCCGGAAGAACAACAAGTGTACCACCATTAATTTAAGCAGAGAAATCTTACCTGAAACAAATCGGAAGATCGATCGCTGTACTGGTTCACCCGCTGATACGGTAATAATGGAGATGTCCTTCAGAAAGAATACAGGAAGACTCATGTTTGAAAGAAAAAAATTATATATGGCATCTACAGCAACAGGAGGAGTTGCAAGTGGTGTTCCCACAGAGTGTATTGTTAAAGATAATGGCAGTGGCAAGTTGCGTGAGTGTGTGGGAGGCTGGTGCATTATTCAAAGTGTTACTGCTCGCGTTTCATGTTGTCTATAGCTGCGTGCTATTGTAGGCCTCATCTACCCGAAGGAGACTATAGTAAGACTCCCGTCGAGATGCTGGGAACTCAATCAAGCGTGAAGAAAAGGAGGTCCAGATGTCATTTTGAAATGCTGTAATCTTTTAACAATCATTAATGTGACAGTTATCTGAATGGTGTTAAAGAAAAGTGGACAGATTTATTACTTGAGTCCTTTGCATGTCATCTGTTTTACCATTAAGTGTGTCATTTCATGACTACTTTATTATAAAGAGGAGTCTATCTTGTAGGATCTCCTATCAAATTGGCTCCCACACACTAGTGGCATTTAATGACTTCATATATGTGCGGATACGGGAAAGGCAAAAAAGAGAGGAAATAATTGCTCCGTCTTCCATCAGTTGTGAGTAGTGTTCTTGCAACCTTGACATTTGAAAGACAGTTTTGCCTTTTAGACATTTGATTTTGTTCTCAATTTGTTCCCAATCAAATTGGAGCTCTATAGTCATAAAAGCAATGGGTGCCTATATTTTCCCTGCTGTGTATCCGCTTGTTGCAAAGCGTCTGTTTTGATTAGCAGCAGCTGCCATACCTTTGCTAGTGTGAAGGTCTAAGCCCCTTTAAGACAACTTGTGTCACAGGAAGACCGGCGCATCTGCCATGAAAAGCATTAATTTTGCGAACAGAGGGAAGACACACAGTCTGTTCCATTTATTGCCAATGTTAAAGAAAAATGGTTGCGCTCTTTGTCCTCTTTGTCACAAGGAATATAGCTTTTTCATTTCACAGACTGCCTGGAAGTGTTGACAGACCCGAGCTCACACAAAGGCCAATATGGAAAAAGAAAAGGGATTAGTTTTTACCTCGACTAAAACATTAACTGATGTGCTTTTCCCACGGCGTCAGATTTAAACGGCTTTGTTTTTTTTAGGTTGTGTGTATTCATGACTGTGTCAGAATGTAAACCAGTTGTATTTGAGAAATATTTTATTTTTAGATCTTTAAATCTGTATATATCATGTAACATGTTTACACTTATTGCTACTCTAACTGAAAATGTACCCTTTTTCCAAACTGAATTAGCATATATTCAGTTTTTTGGAACACAGAAAATGCATGGTCTGCACAGTGACTCCGCAGGTTAAGTGAACATTGAAAAATGTACGCTGCTTAAGGCTTGTTTTTTTTATGCGTTACTCATTTGATCTCTTTTTCGAAATCTGTGTTTAGCAACGATCAGGAACGACATGACTGTTACTGAATATGGTGGCTTGAAGAGAGACTCATTTGTTCAGCCTTCATTTATTTTTGTCCAAATCCCTGTTGATTATTGTGACGGAGCGAGTCACTGACAGCCGACACACACACACACACACACACACACACACACACACACACACACACACACACACACACACACACACACACACACACACACACACACAGGTGCAAGCAGACACAAACATTCATCATTCAATGAACTCTCCAACATGGGAGAATTATGCCGACAGGGCACATATTTGGAAGAAACGACTGAGTCTGTCATTTTCCTGCTACATACCTTAGTGAAAATAATGTTTGGCTTTTTGAGCAGCAGTGATCAAACAGTTCATTGATTTGTCTCCTTGGGCTGCATCTTTCTGGGACTGGAAACTGGTTCAAAAAAGCTCTATGACCCACACGAATACTCTTCTCTTATGATTGATTTCTATTTTGGTCCCTCTTCATCTGCCACTTCATCTCAGCTTGTGTGCATGTGTGACTTACATGTCTCGGTAATGCTGGTCCTGTGATGAGCTCAGGGATTGTTTTCTCCGTGGGACATTTTTAGCACGATTTTGGTTTTGTAATGAATTCATTGACACAGTCATCTGCCAATATTTACAATTCATGGTATTCACAATAATGTCATACTTCAATTTGTGTAACTGTTTGGTGGCATAGTGAGCAGGGAGATTGTCATTTACCAACAATATAGGACCTGTATAGAGTGCCACAGTGATGCGCCCTAAAACCCGGAAGTATAAGTTAGCATTTTACCACTTCCGGTTCCTTCGACAAAAACCAATGCAATTTCTCCATAGGATTTTGGAAAAAAGCTCAAAATAAGGTTTGTGGTTGACACAAATTGAAGAGACATATCACGTTTTGTTCAGCCGGATAATCTCCACATCTCTACCCTACTTTTATAATTGTTTTAACATCAAAGGGAGGTGAGCCACAAAGAGGGCCAGTTGAGACAAACATTTATGGATTTTAGATAAAGAGCTATACAGGTCCTTTTTTATGGTTATACGATCTGAGGTGGAAGGCTGTCAGGAAAATGCTTGTTTAAATGAAGAGAAGCCAGACATATAATATCACTGAAGAGATGCACTTTGAACACGGACATTCAGCTGACTATGAAAGAGTTGTCTGCATGTTTGTGGTCCAGACTCTGGGCATACCTTTTCCATCTTGTCCAGTCCAATGTTTTGAGTAAACAGACAGAACCCGTGGCCCGATCAAGCTCAAAGAATATCCCTTTCAACCCGAGACTTTATGCAACCTAAACTGTAAGAACCTGCCAGGCTTTGGCATTAGTTGATCTCTCTACCAATTCTAGAAACCAGGTAATCATGTTTTGACATTTACATTGGCCGATGACACATCTTGTGGATCACCCAAGAAGAGAGAGATACCAGTAAATAAACATCTTACCTAAACTTACATGTTGTGAATCCACCCAGGATCTCAACCACCTTTTCATCATTTTGTTTTTACTTCTTAGTGTAGACATTGCATATAGACAGTGCCAGATGCTGGTTGCTGCCCCATTTTTTAAATTTTTTTACAAGAAAATGCAAGGGTTGGGCTGTTAAGCCAATATTCATAGTTGTTATTTTGCCCAAAAATACCTTTTTCTGTAGATTTACATCACAAAGGGGGGTCGGTAATTTGTTTAAATGACTTACTTCATTCATTAGGTTACATTTAAACAAAAATAAGTTTTAGCTGACTCCAGAGTTACTCCCCCATAATGAACTGCTGTACATGTGAGCGAGCTGAGACTGAATGACTGGAAGCTGAGTTAAAGAAAAAGCCCATAGCCTTGCTCTTTGGGCCCTATGGATGCTGATGATCTGGGTATTCTTATGCATGGCAATTGAAATGATTTCCCAACAAGCGACCCTAACATAAATGTAGTCATTTCATTCAGTGCCAATATAAAAGTCTGATCAGTGCAGTCTTAAAAAAAGACTTTGTTATTCACATCAACTGAAAACTTGTTTTTCAGCATCACACCCTGACTTGTGACTTCTCAGCTGAGGGGTTAACACAAGAAAGAGAACTAACAGAACATATTTACACAGATATTCAACATTAATGTTACTGAAGCCGAAACTCGAGACTCATTTTCACCTTCAACCCAAAGTAAACATTTTTAAAGTTTAGTTTTCTTTTTTTATAGCAGCATCTTAATATTTACATACAACCACATTAAGCATGCACTGAAGAACCAGCCTTCTGTCTTTTGTAATCTTTAATAGTTTTTTTTCAAAGCGTTACAGAGGTAACATTTAGAGCTGTTGTCCTTAACATGAGGTGAAACTGAGGAAATGTTGACGAAGACGCTTCACATCATTAAGGCGACAGCAGGAGGTCCTGCCAAACTTGGTGCCCCTGGAGTTGCCTGGAGGACCTTTAGAAGTCAGGGCCCTCTTTCTTCAGGTTCTTGTAGTCCGTGTTGACGGCCACAAACTGTGTGAGGCAGGAGGAATACATTTAAATCTGCTTTGCTTAAATTAAATTCATCAGTGCTGTCTTTAGGAGAACATATTGGTGGAACCAAACAGGCAGGGGGTGAAATGTTTTCCCCTCTATTACAAATATAGACTCACCCAAACACACTTATTTATTAATGATGCTTTATAGCTCATTTATTTTCCAGATTTGCTTTAGGATAACATGCGTGTCATGGATAATATATATATTGTGTGACTGCATGCATATGTTCTGCATACATCACAACTCTCCAACCATGACAAACACACATTAATGCACTGGCAGTGATTATTTTCTCCCTGTGTTTTCTTTCTTGATTGGTCTGCCATTAAAACCCTCGCCTCCCCTCTCCTCACTCCCCTTTTTTCCCACTTCCCCCTCCTCATTACGATCATTGTTTGGACTTCAGGGGAATTTCGATGCGTGACCTTTGCCTTGCTTTCGAGAATTAAACATGCCTCGTCCTGACCTTTTGTCTGCAGCGACTTTCATTCCACTGGCAAGCCGTGCAGCCTTGAAGTGCTCAGAAAACGCTCTTTTCTCTGAAAAACATATCAGCCAGATCTCCTCTTCTGGGACTTGTCAGTCGGTGGTTTTTGTGCTCTATTTTAGGTCAGCGTTGATAATGTTTTGTCTGACGCTCGGTCCTGTTGTTGAAGAGGTAAGGCAAATTATTACTGACCACTAAAAGCTCCCTTCATTTGCTTTTGAAAGACACTTTGTTTTCCTTTTGTTTTGATCAAATAAGGAAACAAGAAAGCGGCCATGTTGATCTGAAATAACTTTGCCAGTAATGTGTGATCCTGATCTATTTTGGTTTGTTTTTTTAGGCTGTTTTTGATGAAAGTCTGAAGCGTCTTTGAGTTTCCTGAAAAGAGCTATACAAGTCTCATGTATTATTATTATTATTATTATTATTATTATGAAAGTAATATTTGCAGTGACCAAAGGAAACAATGGCATTCGTATCTTTAGTTTTCTGTCAGACATGATGGTGTTGAGCCAGCATTTGGTCGTACTTTGTGTAGGGGGGAAGCTACCTTGTACTGGTAGGTTGGGTCGAGGTTGTTCCAGGGCTCTGGGTTGTTCTTCTTGTCCCACAGGCTGCAAATAGGCAACGATTCAGGGAATGTAAAAAGAGAGAAAAGACAGGACATGATAAGCAAGGCATACTGTACATCACGGCTATTCACTTAGTTTGGAATGTTGCCAGTTGATGAAAATTATCCAAAATAAGGGGCCAGTTAAATGATGGCTTGAAATATTTGCAATCATGTTAATAGCTACAGATACAGTACTACAACAACAAAGGATTGCATATATTTTAATTAGTAAAACATGACAACAACATGCTGTATTGTATTGAAACAAGACACACATTTAACCACCAACATCAATTTAGGTGCACACAACAGTGCAAACTAAATAACAGGCTTGTGTGCACACATGGTATTGAATAATCACATAAGTTTTATAAAGTCAAATCATAAAGTGCATCAGACACCAGGTGAGCCATATTTAGAATTTCCCTCATTAACTAAATTAATTCAACCCAATTGGTCACAACAAAAATAAAGAATGACTGCGTCACATTTCAGTAAATATCCACATTTTATCAATGTAAATAGTTTCTATTTTGAAATGGCATTGTTGCATTGTACATGATGGAGGCAAAAGACCCAACGCAGAGAGACGGAAGACTAAGAGAAGAGAAACAAATAAAACAATAACAAATAGGGAGCAGAGGGGCAAAAGGGGAGAGACAAAATGAAATTAAACATTATTCTGGATGGAGACACAAGTTGGAGGTGATTATCAGATGAGGTGAACTCAGCCCAGTGACTTGGCAGTGCTCCCCTTTCCATTAGCCAAAGTCTGGCTTTCACTGAGACCCCCCCC